AAAGAAAAAGAACAGAGAAGAGGAAAAGGCAGAAGTAGAATGTGTGGGAACCTAGTTGCTTCACTGGATCCCATTTCTCACTGCCCTTTATTGCCTGAGCTGGAGGAGTGCTTTAGAAGGGCCAAACCAAAAGGACTTCACTGTAAAGTTGAAAGCCAGCCCCACACTCTTCTCCCTGATGGCATCCTTCATCACTTGATGGCATCTTCTCCTTTATGTGAAGGGTGGGGTGGCATATTTCTGAGCTGGGCTCCAGGGACAGTGCTCAGAGAAAGAAGGCTCCCTGGAGGCACGTGTCCTATGAGGGAGGGCAGGCAGGGGCTTTACTGTCGCTGCTGGGACCTAAGCTTATAGTGAGTGTGTGTGTGGGAGGGGGAGTTGAGGAAAGGGAAAGCCCTGGTGGGTCATTTCAAGGAAAGCTTCCTGGAAGAGGAATATGAAGCAGCCTTGGAAGAGACCTCCTGTGAGCAGGTCTTGCTTCCAGCCTCTAGGAGACCATTAAGCCCTTGCCAAGACCCCTTTACACAGGAACCCTGAGGACAGCCAGCCATGTCCCTTCAGCTTGGTCTTTCCCAGCCTTGCAACAGCCTACCTTCTGAATTTATCTCCCTACTGTTCCCTTGCAGAAGGAGCCTTTTAAAAACCAAACAGGCCTGTTCACCTGTCCCAGGAAATTTCCTGCCTCCTATACCTCACTTGCCATCCACACTTTATTCCTGCCTCCTGTCCAGACTCCCAGGAAAAATTCCCTATGAAGCCTTCCTTCTTAGGGGGTGGGACAGGTTACCTGAGTGGATAGGTCATTTTATCATGTGGACTGAGCATTTCTCTAGCCAGACTTTTAAGCTCATCTCATCCTGGTCCCCACCACCTTCATCACATGCTCCGTGGATGGAAGTGGGCTGAGCAGGGACAGAAGAAAATACCTCCTGGTAAGGTCCCTGGATGAGGAAACCTGCACAAGAATGGGACAGAAAGGGTGTGCCAGCCTGAGCCATCAGTCCTCGGGTCCTGGGCATTGGAAGCTGTCTCCTACAGTGGGTCCATTCATTTACAAAGCATCTCCCATCTGGCAGCCACCTACCAAAAGGGCTGCAGTGATGAGTACATTACCTGCCTCTGTTGCTTACAGTTTAGGGGAGACCTTAATCAGAAAATTACCATAATGGAAGAGAGCATGTGACAGAGGCACTTGATGGGATATGTGTCAGACTTTCCTAAAGAAGTGACACCCCCTATGCCAGTGCATTTTGTCCTTAACAAGGCCTGACCTCAAAAGAAGCTATTTTACCAGAGTCTAACATATTGGAGTTTTATCAGAGCTTGACAAACATGGAGAAAGGGAAATGTACAACTCGGCCCCCTCTGGCCATCCTGTTCCACCTGGAGGAGACTGAGAAGCATGTGTGGAGTTCACAGTCCAGGGATACAGGCTCACTAAAAGACTGAGACCTTAGTCACGGGACTATAGAGTGCTTCCCTTTCCCCGCATCTTGCCACCAAATCACTAAAGGCCTATTTACTATATGGTTCCTTTTACCCAGTACATCATGCTTGGCCTTCAACAAAAATTTGCAAGGCATATTAAAAGGCAAAAAGCACAGTTTGAAAAGACACAGCAAGCACCATAACCAGATTCAGATATAGTAGTGATGTGGGCATTAGCACACCTGGAATAAAAAAATAAAACAAGTGACATTCCCTGACCTAGAGAAGGTGCCAGGTCCCACAGGCCTCTCTGGTCACTGTTGGGTAGGGCCATGGTGACAGTGAGGACTGGCCCCAGCCCACTTGGAGGGTGTGCCCACTGCATAGTGGGCCCTTTCTTGAGGAGCTCCCCAATCCTTAGCATTTCCCACAAAGCCCTTCATTCTGGAGCAGCTCCACAGAGTCCTAGGCTGACTAAGGCTTTTTCGAGCTGTTCTTACTCATGTTGAGAGCCCTGCCACTCCTGGGGCACACCACTCTGGCAAAATCCCCACTTTCCCAGACCTCTGCTACCCCGGTCTTCACAGAGGTGGGAGATCCAGACAAACACAAAGTCCAAACACCTTCCTCACCACCCCCAACACCCATAACCCTTCCTTGCCTAGGCTCAGCAGAGCCTAGTGTGCAAGTCAGCAAAAGAACCAAAAATGGGTTGGAACCAGGGCCAGGGGTCAGGGCCAATGGGTTGGGCCAAAAGGGTGTGTGTTTAAGAGCCAGGGTGACCCCTGTACGACTCCCCTAACTCCCCTCTACAGAATGCCGGCCTCTTCCAGCCACTTCCACAGGTGTCTCCAAGTGTTTGTTGTCCTGCAATGGGTCTTCTCCTTCTTGGGGCTGGGTGAGTCCCTGAAGCCCTGGACCTAACCTCCTCACACACACCTGTGGCTCTGCTCCCCCATTACCACAAGGGAGGGGGGTGGGGAAGAGACCTCCCTGGTCCTTGAAGGAGTGAGAAGGAATTAGGTGGGACAGGGAAGGGGGTGGGGGCAAAGGGGAGACCTGGAACTTAAACGCCTGGGTCCTGAGACCCCCCTCCCCCATTCTCCAGCCCAGGTGTGCCTGGCTGTGGTGATCCTTGCACTCCTAGGCCGAGCCTGGATACTAGCTGTCCTCTACCTGCTCTGGCTCTATGGAGACAGGGACACCCCACGGACAGGAGTCGCCAATTTGCCTGGGTCAGAAACTGTGCCACCTAAAGACATTTCTGGGACTACTTCCCCATCTCGGTGAGGGCCCCAGGAACCGCCTGCTGCGTTGGGGACAGTAATACAGAATAGCCGCTTCAGATAATCTCCCCCAAAAGTCCAATCTCACCGCCAGCGTGGGGTGCGCACCCTCTGCCCCTCAGCTGCTTGGATCCCTCCCACAACTATCTCTTCGGCTTCCATCCTCATGGCGTCCGGGTCATCGGGACCTTCAGCAACTTTTGCAGAGGCCACAGGCTTCCCCCGCATCTCCCCTGGCCTCTGCCCCCGCCTGCTCCTGCTGCCCGGTTGGTTTCACCTTCCTCTCTTCAGGGACTACCTCGTGTGGAGCGGGGCGGTGTGTGTGGGGAGCCCGGCCTCAGGAGCCCCGTCCCTGCTATCACCTCTTACCTGCCTTCCTCCCGCCTGGGGACCCAGCTCTACCTTCCCGGTGCCCTCCTCCCTCCCTTCTCCTCCAGAAGACCCGGGC